TCATTTATACACTCAGATCTGGATCGCTCGATTATAATTTGACAAGTGTCATTTTCCTGAATATTACCTTTTTCTTACGGCTTAACACACGTGTCATTTTAAATGGACCTCGTGATTGTCTTAGGCCCAATAGCATATCTCCCGTTTCACACGTGTGGTCACTCTGTTTCACTCTATACATATGTTTCTTCTCCAAATGAGTGTACAATTTCAAATAAAAAGGCAAGTAAATACAAATTTATCAAATGCTTGTTTTTGTGTTCCTTAATAATGAATGTTGTCTTGATTTAGTTGGTGAAGAATGAAGATCTTGAATAAGACTGTACCAATACATTTATATAGAGAAGATAGATACAAGACTCAATCAAGATTTGTGTGAATGTGATCATGAAATAGACTGTATACAAACATAGACCACATGCTAATCGAAGGCGATATCATCTATAATTCGACAACCAACCACATATACTACAATAAATATATATGCAGCAAGATTGTATTCAAAACCAAAAACGTGAGAAAATGTTCACAATGTACGAGTGAGTAATGTAGCTTACGGTCATAGTCACTCAAGAGATAGAAGTTGAGGTGTTATGTTATGTTTGGAGTAAATGAATTTAGGATAAGCTTCATTTTTTTTTCGCATTGCAGAGGTATTTGTGCGTCTCTTTTGTGTTTTCAACTTAACCACCTCACTGGATATACGATTCTCACTCTCCCAAATGCTTCAAATTACGATATTGGTCTCCTCGAGCTCGACAAGAATCCGGACTTGGAGGAAGAATCAAAGACTTGCTATTCAGTGAGTGGAGAAAACACAATCCTTATCGACTTCCATCATATTTCAGATTCTTATTGGCACAGAGAATTTCAATTCACAGCCGGGAAGAATATCAGCTCAGGGCATTCACTAATTTGTGCGATTTGTTTTAGGGTGGATACTTGATATTGATCTCCTCAAGCTCGACCTGAATCCGCCTTTTGAGTAAGAATAAATATTCGCTATTCAATGAGAGGAAGAATCACAATCCTTACTAACTTCATCAGATACACAAGCACGGATTTCACTTCACAGTTGGGAAGATTATCGACACGTTTTCACTAATTTGCGCAATTCATTTTGGGGACAATAATCGTTATGAAACCCCCAATTTTGTCCCCAAAAAGAATCGCGCAAATTAACGATAGTACATAAACCATGACTTGCAGCTCTCGAAACATTGAGCTTTGAAACTGAAAACACCCATCAAGCCAGATTTACCGAGCGATCAACCAAGCAGCTTTGCAATGAATAACGATGGAAGAAGAGGAGTAAGATCCATTGTAAGACAAACCAACATCACTCTTAATAGATTGCTTTAACCACAAATATCCAACAAGAGCAAAAGCATTGGTTCTTGATTGTCATAAAAAAAAGCATACGAGAATAAAACATAGTCATGATCAATTTCAAAGGAAGAAACGAAAACAGAACGAAATCATCATCATCCACATTGATCGACACTGAAAACAGCAATAAACATAAAGAAGAAACTCGGCTGGTTTGCGGACTCCTCGACCTCCCCCTCAAAAGCCTCTTTTGCTCATTCAAAAGCCCATTGGTTCTCCCTGCGAACCTCTTCCTCTTCCTCGGGTGTGAAATCGTTCTTGATGTTGAAGGTCGTGCGAATCTCTTCTGGTGTTTTGCCTTTGATCATATCAGCCACTGTCTGGCATGTAAGGTCAAGTAAGTTCTTGATGTTCAGGTAATTCGCAGCCTGCAATAATCCAAAAATCAAAACCATTAGCTCCAAATCCCAACAATACATTCCATAGATAGGAATACATAATTGGAATAATAATGTTTCAGTTCAAGGTCGATTCTTTATGAACGAACTAATCCCTAACAATTTTCAATTCGATTTCAGGAAAATAAAACCGACTTCAGTAAGAAGTCTAACAATTTCAACATCAATCGACTTCAATTTCTGAAACAAACCCATAGATTCAAGATACGGTAAAAGGGGGCGACGAAACCCTAATTCTCCAATCGAAAACCCTAATTTTCCAAATCGAAACCCTAGAAATCCGATAAATCAAAAACAAAGATTGAAACAAAAAAAGGGTGAGAGAAATAGCAAACCAGAATGAGTTCGAAGAGCGTAGCCTGATCAATTTTCATGAAATCAGCATCCCATGCCTTAAGGTCTTCGTCGGAGGAACCACCATCGACGGCTTCGCTCTTGGAAGCAGCAGCCTCGACGTGCTTTTTGCAGTACTCGATCACCTTCGCGAGGATCTTGCTCGTGACATTAGGAAGAGGAACTCCGTTGTCGACGCAGTCGTCTTCAACCATATGAGCTATGGTCTGAGACTCGAGAGCCACAGCTTCGTCAACCTCAAAGGATTCACCATCGGAACTCTTCAACACAATCTTCTTCGAAGACATCTTTGTAGAGAGAAGATTTGAGAGAGTTTTTTTTTTTGTTCTTCGAAGATTTTTTTTTTGAGGAGCGATGATGAAGAGGCGATGCGTCTTCTCTGTATATATACAAAATCCCTAATTTTGATAAGTCAGTCGATTGTTAGAGAGTCATCGAAAGATTAGGGGAAAAAGGAAATGTTTTATTTTTTTTAATATTTTTTTCCAAAAGGAAAAATAGAAAACAATCTTAATTCCTTATTTCATTAAAGTTAAGTTTGATCCTCCAACTAATTTAAAACTCATAAATTAGTATCCGATTTTCTTATACTTTTCTTTTGATTATGTTTGCTTTAAGTTTTTATTTAAATTTAAGAAATCACCATATATTAAATACACAATAGAAATTCTAGAAAAAATGGTAAAATCTCTAGGTAAAATAAATGTTGAGATTTTCCATAAAAAAAATAAAAAATAAATGTTGAGATCAAGTGTTAAATCTGGTTTAATAGGTATAAAGTTTAGGATATAAGTCTTGACTGATAATCTAAAACGATATAAATTTT